CGTGGGATCAAGAGAGAAAGGGAGCCCAGTTTTGGGATGGGAGAAGGAGGCACCTCCACTGCCTGTGTCTCCTGTGACAGATGCTTTTGACAGCCAAGGTATTTGCATGGGGAACCAAAACCTCTCCCTTTCCAATTTCTCCCTGTTCCCCAGCTGGAAGGGTTGGCTCAGGGACTGTTCTGCTTCAGTGCTCTCAGTGGACATCCAATTGTTTTTGCTCTGGGGAAATCTGAGTGTCTGGTGACTTCAAGCAAAGATTTCTCTTGCCTTGCATGTAAATAATACAAAAAAGATGCTGTTTTAGTGGGGGGTTGCATATATTGTCCCTGCCCACGCTGCTCCAAGCACTTTTGGTCATGGGAAGCTGCAAGGATGACCCGTGCAGGGATGGGGCACTGCTGGCTCGTGCTGGCATCAGTGTGGAACTGGAGTTACAGAGTTCTGTGTGTTGAATGATTTATTTGGGGTACAAGCACTCAAAAGCACCTCTCCATGATTTTTTTCCCCCTGGATTAGCCACGTGTGGTAGCAGAGCAATGAGTTTCAATCCACTCTTGCTGACAGTGCTGCCTGTTCCAGATCCCCCTCCCCACCCTGCCTGTCCTGGCTGGTTGGGGTGGTTCCAGGACAGGAGTGGCCTGTGCTGGCCTGGTCCTTGTAGCTTCTGGACACTAGGGGCCTCTGCACACTCTGCTATGATTTATGTCTGTGGGGACAGCCCTGTGTGGTGACAAAACACAGCAAAACAGCACAACTGGGGCCTTTCCAATGAGATTTAGGGGATTTTTTTCCCCCTCTTTCCTAAAGTTGTCCGTGACAGTCAGTGCTGTCACTAAGCAGGTACCTGGTGAGCAGCAGGTTACAGGAGAACAGGGGAAGGTGGATCAGCAAAGATCAGGATCGATCTTCCTCTTGCACTACAAACACCCCCGGGCTTCTTCCAGGGGGTTGCGATTTCTTTGGGCACAAGTCAGAAATGTGCTTTAAGAGCAAGTTATGAAACATGAAGATGAGCATTTTATACCTAAAATGCTACAGCAAAACAATCAAACCTGCCTGGCCCACCCAGTGCTGTTTCTGTCCTGGATCTCCCCAAGCCTTCAGGAAGGACTCCCAGGACAGTCCTGCCACAAGCAGGCTGGGGGACATCCCCACCACTGCCCTCACTTTCCATCCCACCATTTCTCCTGGAGACTTTGGGCTGGATTCCCTTATGGGCAGGGCAAGATTTCCCTCCCTTGAACTTCCAGCTCTAGTATTTCCCAGGAATCCCTTCAAGCTGCCTCCTGGCTGGGCTGGGGGGATCTGCTCCCAGGGGCACTTTGCTGCCCCAGCATTGTCCACTCTGGGTTTTCTCCTGGATTTTCCTCATCTCCCTTCCCACATTGGAGTAGACTGGCTTGGATGCACACTCTGCTTGCTCACAGTGCTCCTCCCAGGGCTGTTCCCCCTGATCACTCCAATCTGCCTGGCAAAGGTTCCTGTGTTACCCAACCTGGAAGAGGCAACGTGTTTTCCAAAAGTGCCTCCCTGCTGCCATCCCAGACTTGGGCAGGACCTTCCTGGGTAGCTTTGGTGAGCAGCAGTTCAAGTCTCAGGTGGATCTTTGTTTCTAATCAATGTGCTGTCCCAGAACAATCTATTCCTGATGTGCTGGTGACAAAGGTTGGGATGATGTGGAAGCCTCAAGGGCCTCAGGCTGATGTGGATAAATGTGCCACAGTAGTGATGACCCAGAAAATATTCTCATAGGATGGGTTGGGTTGGAAGGGACATTAAAGATCATCTTGTTCCAACCCCCTGCCATGGGCAGGGAACCTTCACAACCTCCCTCCTTCCCAACCTTCCCATCCAGGAGCAGATTCACTGAGTTGTGCTGAGCAGCTGAGGAGACCCAGCCTGGGAAACTGAGGCACTGGTGAAAGGTGAGAATTAAAGGGTGTCAAGGTGTCTAAAGATCCACCTGAAGAGCATCCCTTGGACCTGGTGAGCACCAGAGAGGGGGTGAAGCCCAGTTGAGAGGTGAAGGGCTGCACAAAACCCTCCTGTACCAGCCCTGCTGGAACCACATTGCTGTGCTGATAATCACTACAATTAATGCCCAACCTGCTCCTGCTGAAGGGCTTCTTCCAGCTGTTCCAGCACATCCTGGGCAGCAGTTTGGCTCCTGCCACCCCAAGGTGCAGCACCAAAGCCCCTGAGCTGCTCCTAAAGACACTGCCCTGCTCCTTTAAGCAGTAACCAGAAGCTTTCTAAATATTATCATCTTACCAAAAGAAGAGGGGGAGAGAAAAAAAAAAAGAAAGTGTTTTGGCATGAGAACAATTTCTCCATTACCTCAATTAGTTCAAATGATCTGGAAAGGTTCTCTCTGGAGAAATCAAGCTCAGTCTCAGCCAGGGAAGGGGCTGGTGGCTGGTGGGTTGCTGGAGGTGTTGATATGAGCATTAGTCAGCACTGGAGATTGCAGTGAAGTCAGGCAGTATTGCTGTCACTGCTGTCTGGCTGCAGCCATAAATTAATTAATTATATCACTGCAGTAATTGAAGGCCTTATTCTCTCTAAGGATCCTGACTCTGGCACCTCCCTGCCTGTTGCTGAGCCTGTCCATCAATTCAGTGAGGTCTGGCTTGTGCTGAGATCATTATTTCCTGAAATACTGTAAAATCTCTTCATAAAAATGAAAGTTTCTTTCTCTTTTTTAACCCATCTTCACCCTTTTCTTGGAGGAGGGAGTGCAGCAAGTCAGGAAAGATGCAGGAGAGCAAGGTGGGGTTTTCTAATTCCAGCGTTTTGGGGTTGTCCCTTTGCAAATTGGGATTGAAAGCACCCTCAGAGTCCCTGGGATGGTGATAAGGTCCTATGGGGAGACAGATTAGCTCCTGTCAGTGCTCCAAATCATCTCTGCTCCTGCAGTGGGGTTGAAAGAAGCCCAAACACAGTGATGGGCTAATGTTGGGATGACCCACCAGGCTGAGCAAATCCAGGGACTGGCTCCTGCCTGGGTGTAAATGGGTGTCCCCGTGCTGGTGGAGCAGTGCCAGATTCCACCAGCTGAGGGTCTGGATTGCATATTCTACCTATAAAAATGGTGTTTAGGATATCTTGGCAAAAGCAGGTATTTTTGCAACCCACTCCTAAGTGGGCAGTGCTGTGGAGGGATGAAATCCAGTCACACTGGTGAAAAAAACACCAATCAGGCTAAAAAAAGCTACACCAGGAGCCTGTGGAGCCCTTTTCTCTTTTTTTTGTAAGACTATTTTGTTCCAAGGAACCTGCTAAAAGCTGTTGGACACACAGGGATTCATGTTCCTGCTGAAGAAGAGGGAGGAGCACCCTCATTCCCAGCACTTGTTATTGATCCTGAGCTTCCCAGCATGGGATGTTATCATTGGAAGTCCCCGCTCCGAAGGTAAGCAAGAGTGGAAAAATTTTTTTGGCTTTCCCCATGAAAATAAGACTTATTTCTGGTCTTCATGATTATTCATAATGGCCCTAAAATCTGAATTCCAGGTCCAAGGCTCACAGAGGTGCAGACTGCTGAGGACCATGGAATCCTGGAATGGTTTGGGTTGGAAGGGACCTTAAAGCTCGTCCAGTTCCACCTCCTGCCAGGGGCAGGGACACCTTCCACCAGCCCAGGGAGCACGAGGTGTGTGAGCTTGAAGGGTTCTGCTGTGAAAAACATCACCTGCCCTGCAGTTGTTTTCTCCTCCAAGGAGGTATTTTTGAACTTGTCTCTCTAAATGTGTAACGTGGCCCGGGGTTGATGTTCCCGGCGAATGCAGCTGGTCATTTCTGAGTTTAAAAACAAAAATAGGGCAAGGCACCCTTGGAAATCACTGGTCACGTGTGGAGGAATGTGCCACGTGCACAGGGATGTCCGAGGGAGCCTCGTTTGGGGGTGCTGGGGACAGAGTTGAGCAAATTTAGGGCTGGAAGTGAAAATTTTTGTCGTGTCTGGTGGACAAGTACAAATATTTTCTGGATTCTCTCAAGGCAAAGCTCCACTTGGCCATGGCTGAGCTCATGTGGGAGAAGATCCCTGTCCCTTCCCCACTCCCCATTTTGGAGGGAGTCATGACATAATTCCAGAAAATTAACCTTCCAGGGGTTCAACGCTCTAGGAAACCTCATGAGCTACGGAATGTTTTTTGTGCACCTACAAACCTCCCCAACTAGTGCTGCAAAGGAGGAAAATGATATTTTTTTGGACGTTTTGGACAATGCCCAAGGTGTAATGTGCTTCTGCCGCCACAGCAAGAAACATTTTTAGCATTTGATGATTTAGGAGGGAAAGGAAGGGAAGGCACAGGGGTTTGTACCAGAACTGCAGGAAATTGTAAACCAGCCATTCCTGTAAGATTTCCTGCAGAAAGCAGAGGAGATGTTTGGGGTTTTTTTCCATAGGATTCAGCAAAACCTCACCAAACACTTCAGGATATCAACTGTTTATTGACCTCCAGAGAAAGGAGAGGGAGGAGCAAGACAAGTCTCACAGGGTGATTTGGAAGCTCTGTTTTGGGAATGGTGTGGATGTGGGAACTGGTCCCTCCAGGCCTTAAATGGGGACTTTTGGGACCATCACCCTCCCAACTCCTTCCTGCACTCCAGCATCACTCCCCTGGCTGTGCTTTGGGGCCAGAGGGGTTTGGGACCCCCCTGGACCCTGTCAGGCATCATGGCTCCAGCATAGATGGATCTGTGCTGGGGGGATCAGTGGCTTCATTAGTGTTATTAATCAACCCTGGGTAATTGGTTCAGGCTTCCTGGCTGTGCCCAGCCCGTGGTTTGGGGCACGGGGAGGAAGGAGAGGGAGCATCCCACTGGCACCAGCCTTTTGAAGTCCCTCTCCCTGGGATCCCTCTTCCTCTGCCTGGCTGTGGCCTGAGGACTTTCCCCCAGCTGTTTTTCAGCTCGTTTGAAGTGCTGGGTGAAGCAGGAGGGAGCAGGGATGACTCCAGGGCATAAGGCACATTCCTCCAGGTTTCCAGGCCTTTCAGTGAAAAGCCTCAATTAAGCAATAATCAGCCAAGCATGGCAAACCCAGGAGCAATAAGTGCTGCTTCTGGCTCCGGGGCCAAAGGCTAAAATCCATGCAAGGAGCTAAATTAGTTGTCTAATTGGGATTTCTGTCCACCCTTGTCCTGCTCTGGGTCCTCACAAGAATGAGATCAGTGACAAATTCCCAGTTGTCTCCCCCCACCATCACCTTTCCTTAACGTCCCTGCCTAATTAGTGCTGGGAAGGAGGACCAAGGTCCGACCCTGGCTGCAAGATTGGAGTCCAGGCTTGAGGTGTCTCCTCATCCCAGCTGCTGCATTCCCAAGGATTTGCCCAAATTGCACTGATTTACACAGGGGAAAAGTTGTTCTCTTCCCATCCTGCTCCAGGTGGGACACACTGAGGGCAGCCCCCCACAAATCCCCCCAGCACATGGAAAGGGAGGGTTGCAACAGTCTGAAGGGCTGGGGAAGGTTGCTCTGGAAGATCTGTGGGACCAGGATGAAAGGGAGAGCCAGGAATGCCACAGGAGAAATCCCTGGGTGTGGAGCAAACATCTGCTCAACACGTGGGAAAGGTTTCCATGAGCTCCGTGCTCCTGGTTGTCCTCAGCCCACCTCTCACTGCTCCAAAAACCAAGAAGCTGCTTTCCCTGGGGGTACTTCCCACCTCCAAACAAATTCCAGGGAATTCTGCACAGGTGGGAGAGCAGCTGGAGCAGGTAAATCCAGGCTGGAAGCCGGGATGTCTCATTCCAGACTCAGAGACCTTCTGTGGGTGTGTCTCTGTCTCTCACAAGCCAAAGGAGGTGTTTCCCTGCCCTTGGAGCAGTGACCAGGATGAGAGGATGCAGGGAGCACAAAAATCTCCTGACCTGTAGGATGGGGGGTGACCCTGGGAGGTCCCCCAGCCCATTTCCCTTGTCCTGAAGGAAAACCAGTCATAACTAAACCATTCCTGATTATTTCTTGTCCAAAATGCCCCAGATGTTGCTGGTAGGAGGTTGCAGCCCACGAGCTGTGCTGAGATGGGGAATGGTCCTGCTGCCAACACAGACCTCCCTTGGGAGACCCCTTCCAGGGTAGTCAGAGCATCCTTTATTTTTCATGGTTGAAGCTGCATCAGGAGAAATTAAACCCAGGCAGGGTTTTTAAAACTTCCTTTGGCATCCTCAGTTTTCAGGAAAAGCGAATTCCGAATCTCTGTGAGCTGACCAGGAATAAAATCTTTATCCTTGTTTTCTGGTTTTACTTTAAAAAATGAATTTTAATATTTCTTTGGGGTTTTCACTCAGTATTTGTTGTCTAGAAGCTGGCAGGTCTGAAGAAACTGGAAAGGAAAAAATACAGGAAAGATGTAATAAAAGCATTATAGTGATCAAACCCCTAAGATTTCATTTAAATGTAACTAATGGCTCAGATTGGAAACAGTAATTCCCTACTTGCCAGGCAAGAATACATAGCATGTGCCTGCACTCTAAAATCCTTTACAATTCTATGTTTAAACATTAAAATTCTATATTTAAACATATGGAAGCAGAAGGAAATCTAAACCAGGCAAAGGCAGAGCTGCAGGGAGCAGTGGAAGCACAATGCCTTTTCTTTAGGGACTCTAATAATTCTGGGAATGAACTCCCAGCCAAACATTGGGATGGGGGACTTGTTCACACTTGGTGCTTTGGCCACTGGAGGAACGTTCCCAGTTCCCTGTGGATCTGGAGAAACGTTCCCAGTTCCCTGTGGATGTGGGAGCTCAGCACGAGGAGCAGGGCAGGAAGGGCATCGTGTCCTGTTGGACCACGTCCTCCCCATGGATCTGGGTTAATTCCATTGCAAACATTATCCCCTGGATTTGGGGATCTGTCCCCATGGCTGACAGAGGGAGGGAGCACAAACCCCACCTGACCCTGCAGGTGTTGGCTTTGAGCACACCCTGAGTGATGGATCTGAAACATCCTGTGGGGCTGATGGCAATGACAGTCACAAAATCAGTAGTACAATACACATTTAATGAACTGTAAATTGAATTAATAATATAAATAATAATAGGGCAGAGGAGATGGAGCAGCCCTGAGGTTCCAGAGAGGTGGATTGTGTGGGATTGTCCCTGACAGCAGCAGCATTGTCCCTCCAGCTGAGCTCATCCCGAGCTGTTCCCTCACCCTCTGGAATGAGCTGCTTTGCTGGAAGTCCTTCTCCAGGTGAGGTCCCTTCCCACAACCCCAGCTGGCTCCCCCAGTCCCCTCTCTCCATCCAGGGATGGAGCAGCAGCATCCCCAGCTTCTGAAGGGGGGCTTTCTTAGTATTATTATTTTGTGGTCAAAAGGTTGCACACACGATTTTTTTTTTCTTTCTGATGCAGAGGCTTAGAAAGAGTGGAAAGCAAAATATTTTGATAATTATTCAGGCCAGCGGGTTACATAAAAGGTTCCATAGCCCTCTGCATCAAACCTTAACAGTTCAAACCACAAATTCTGTTTTTGCAGCCATAAAACATTCAGGGAAAAAAAAAAAAGGGGAAAAAAAGAAAGAAAATATTAAAAAAGTAAAATAAAATAATAAAATCCATTTTCCATTCGCTTGAAACTTATAAAATTTTATGTGGTGAAAAATGACAGTTTACTCCCAGAAGGAAAGTGCCCAGAGAAGTTGGTTTCGTTGGCATGGTGGGATCAGGGAATAGGCCTGGACTTGTGTCTTTAGTGAGCAGAGGTTGGAAGATGTCACAGAGCAGCAGGACAAAGCTGCAGCAGCCTGGGAAGGAGCTGGAGGGGGCAATGGAAGTGCTGATGTCCCAGGGCTCATGTTTGGATAGGGTTATCCAGGGATCTGAAAGCAAATCCTGTTGGAAGTTCAGGACCTGCAGCTCCTTCAGCCCCTCTGATCCCCCCTGGCTGTGATTTGGCACCTCCCAGGCTGGGGATGCTCAGGAGATGAGCCCTGGGAACCAGGGCAATGCCATCGGCATCCAGGTCTTGCTGATCCAGGCAGGAGCAGCAGCAGCCCTTGGGAAGAGCATCCCTGGCTCCCGGGGCTGCCTCTGGCTCCCATCACTGCCCGGGTTCATTGTCCTCTCACAGCACAAACCTCGGGGCAGTCACTGAGATTTCCTGGGTGAAGAACAAGCAGAATCAGCCCCAAAACCTCAGCTCAGGGTGAGACACTGCAGCGTGGGTGGAAAGCACTGGCACAGGAGCCCGGGAGCTCTAGGAATTCAGTGGGAATTCCTGGTTGCACGGAGTCAGACCCGTGTGGTCTGGGAGTGAAGCAGCCAAAGCGGAGCTCGCGCTGCCCCCGCAGCTCCACGCCGGGAGCAGCACAACTCCAGGAGCTGATGGGCTCCCTCCCTTGGGCCACAGCTACAGCTGGAATTGCTGGGTGCCATGGCTGGATGGCATTCCTGGACAGTGTTCCTGGACAGCATTCCCATGTGGCACAGCAGGGCTCCAAATGCCAGGTGGCTGTTCCGGTGCCCACACGATGCTCCCGGTGTCCAGCCCCGTCTTTGGGATGTGCCCCCATCCCAGAGGTGAAGTACACCTTCCACAGCACCTTCCCCGAAGAGAAACCGCCTCAAGGCTCTGCCCTGAGCTATTCCCAACTCCCAGGTTGTTTTCCGGCTCCGTAGGAAGGCGCAGGGACCAACACGGGAAAGTTCAGCTGAGCGATGTTGAAACCTCCCCAAGCTCCAACGAAGCCAAGGCTCTTCCTAAGAGACCCAACACTGCAATGTTGGGCTGAAGGAGCTGCAGGTCCTGAACTTCCAACAGGATTTTATCCCTTGCTTTCAGATCCCTGGATAATCAATGCTCTGAAATTCCCAGGAATAGCAGGTGCAGTGGATGGAACAGGGGCAGGCTCAGGCTGCCATGGGGATGCTCTTCCCCCTTACACACCATTAAGTCCCAGGCATAGATAAGACACCATGAAAGCCCTGAGCAAAGTGTGAAAGGAGTCGAATTCCCTGCAAAAATGTGTATTTTCAGGTTTTTGGTTATTCAGTGAAGGTGGTTTTCCCCATCCCTGGAAGTGTCCAAGGCCAGGTTGGATGGAGCTTGGAGCAACCTGGGCCAGTGGAAAGTGTCCCTGCCCAGGGCAGGGGATGGAAAAGATGAGCTTTAAGGTCCCTCCCAACCCAAACCATCCCATAATCCTAGAGAAATATATACAAAATGTCACAATTATGTAACTACTTTTGCTTTCTAAGTAAAAGATGTCCTCAGAATCGTTGAGAAGAAGATGCACTTTCTTTATGGGTTTTCTGCCCTGGAACATTAAAAAGTCATCTCATCTCCTGCAAATACAGGATGAAGAAATATGTTAAAAATTTCTCAATAGTCAGCCACAAAAACACAGACTATTACCAGCTAAAAAACAACATTATTCCCCCTGCGTGTTAGAATTTGACACTTCTGGGTACTGGCAACATTTTTCAAAAGAAAATTAAAAAATAGCTGCGTCTGAGTGAAAAAAAAAAAGGGCTCTTTGCTTTTCCTTTTCCATTTGCAAAGGGAAAAAACAAAAAACTCATTTTATATCCTTTTTTTTACATGGGAAATGTTAAAAAGCCATCTAATCTCCCGAAACTAGCACTAATTAACGAGCAAACACGAGAGCTGGGAAGAGAAATAAAAACCGTAGCCTGGACTTTCTGTGGCTCGATTCAAAGTCGTGACACGTTTGAGGCCATAAATGCATTTTCTTGGTTCTGGGGAGTTCGTAATTAGCGACTCGAGAGGAAATTTGTGCAGCAGTGGAACACGGGCTGCCTTTTTTTTTTTGTTTTTTGTGGAATACTTGAGCATTAGTGGTTTTCTGGGGGCTGGGGATGCGTTGAAGTGCAGCTGGAGCCCCCGGCCCACCGTGTGCAGCCACCCCACAATCTGCCTCTGTGGTCTGCCCGAAATACCCACTCCCTCCTCCACCAAAGCTTCTCACCCTTCTCTCTCTTTTTTTTTTATAATTTTTTTATGGAGATTTTGCAGCCCAGTGATCCTCCAGCCTTCCT